CCCCAAAACCCCAAAACCCCAAAACCCCATTTATAGCTGATTATTTTGAAATATTTAAAATTCATGGACATAGGAAACTTTGTACCTCAGCATTTAAAAGACTACTATGAGATAGCAAATAAAAACCAAAATGAACTAAACTATTCTTTGGATACAAGAAAACCGTACAGGTCAGTTAGTAAATAAATCCTCTGCTGTAAAATTATCAAAAAGTAGTAAAAGAGACACTCAACAATTTAATTTCTCAAGAAACTGTAAGTTTAATTCTTCATGATTTTCTTCTAGTTCATCCACTGAAGGACATCACTCAAGATGAAACGAATAGGAAGAATTTGTTTGGATCTTATCAACCAAAAGCACAATCTAACTCTATCAAGGAAAATACCAATGAAAATACCAGTAATAGAAGCCCACTGGAACAGTTCAACTTTACTGTAGATGTAACACAAAAATGAAGCACGAGGTCTCTCGCTAAGCGGAGCCAACCTTCAAAAGCAAGCAAATAAGCTATTCAACTTCACTCAGAAGTTTTAATAAGCATTTGTTTTCACCAGCTCAAAATGATATTGATAGTCTCAACGACTATCAAAACTACAACCAGAATCTTGACTATGCTCAAAACCAAGAAGATAGCAAAGAAGGTACCTCATCCCATGAAATGGGCAAACTCTCCAAGAAATTACAACAAGCTGAGATGGGGTACCACAAATGGAAGAAATGAGCAGAAAAGCAAAATAAAAGCATTATGGCTTATGAAAAGAAAGTTAAGGAACTATATCTTGAACTCAAGAAATCTCATAAAAGAGTAATCAAGTATAAACAACTAAAAGATTACTCTGATTCAGAACTAATTAAGTTCAAAGAATCACAGAAAGATATACTAGAGGCCCATACAGTCAAGATCAAAAGAATGTTTCTTAAAGAATACGAAGAGCTGATAACTGATAACACAAATAATCCTGCTATCCCTCAGGACTCTATCCAGACTCCACGTGGAGATGAAATAGCTGAGTTAACTGGAAAGCTCACTAAGTCTAATCTTGAGCTGCGTAAGCTCCAATCACAGATTAAAGGTATTTAGATTAACTAATATCCAGAGTTGACCAAAATTCTTAAGCATAAAGACCAAGAAATTCAGACGAAAGAAAACAAAATCAAAGGTAAGTTCCTTAACAACTCTCAAGAAATAGATATATCTTCTTCAAAAGTATCTGTGGACCCGATCTTGAGAGAAGGTCTCCAGAATATGGAGAAATGTAATAGGATCAACTCTGATTTACTGATTGAGTATAAGGAGCATATCACCAGACTAACTTCTCAAAATGCTGCGTTAAACAAACAGGTCAACACTTTAGTCGACGTGGAAAAGAAATATATAGGCGTCAAACAACAGAATGAGATTTATGAAAAAGACCTAAAACAACTTGAAGACACCCTCAAAGTAATAGAAGGGCAAACTGATGCTGAACTCTGAGTAAAGAAATCTATTCTTAAGTTTCTAGACTAAAGTTCAACAGGAGTGCGAGTGCTTATGTAAAGACACTATGCAGCTAATTGATTGCCTCACCTCTGTCCAGAAAGGCCAGGAGCCAAATATAGATATCCTTTTAGGGTTCAAACCTAATTGAGAGTCTGAAATCAGAGAAATGGCTTCTACATATAAAGAAATTCGAACAGTGCGTAAAAAGTTGAATGATATGAGAAATTCTCTCTGTGACCATTATGCTACAGAATACTCTTCAGAATGTCACATACAATAATTTAATTCAATATATTTTTATCCAGGAGGGGTTTTGGGGTTTTGGGGTTTTGGGG